AGGAAACCCCGATTGGCATCACAAACCTCAAAGGCGTCAGATTCCTTCCATCTTTATTATTCTTTTTTCGTCTATTTCGGGGCGTGGCGTAATTGATGACTCGGCTGAATCCTGTGCTATTGTCGTCACACTCAGCTGGTTCTGTCGATTGTTATTTGATATCATGAGGAAAAAAATCGAATGCTGTCGACACGGTTTTTTCTCCTGATTACGTAAAAAGTGAATAGACGATGAAGTCTTTGTTAAGGCGAGGCATCGGTCGGGAGTTTCTGGAAAAAGTAATATCCTGGCCATACGTTTCGAAATATGTTGATTTGATGCTTTCTCTACATTCTTATATTGGAGAAAGAGTCGGATTAGAGTAAAATAGCATTCTTTTTTTCCGTGTCTCATCTTGTCTATCCTTTCACCATAAAAAAAAAAAAAAAAAAAAAAAAAAAATGTATAATATATTTTACGTTCGCATCTCTTTCTTGATTTCCTTTGTCCCTTCGTTTATTCTCCTTCTTTGCGCTTCCTTTTCGTCGCTCCCTGAGCCTCCCCGTCCTCCCCTTGCCGGAATTTCTATACAAGTCCTTGAATTGCCTACCCATCTCTGTTCTTCTTCCTATTTGCCTTTCCCCTCTTCCTTCTTTTCTCACATCCTCTCAACTCCTTCATTTCCTCCTCTTTTTATCTCCTCCCCCCTTCCTCCTCCACCGCCCCTGGCTCCTCTTCCTCTCCTCCTCCTCTCTACTTCTTCTTCTCTTCTTCTTCTTCTTCTTCTTCTTCTTCTTCTTCTTCTCTTCTCTTCTTCTTCTTCTTCTTCTTCTTCCTGGCCAGGCGACGGCCGCCCTCCGCGCCCCGGGGTCTGGCTCGCCTTCGCTCTGCGCGCAATTACGGACAAACGTTCACGGAATGTTTGTGCAAGAACATTTTTGCGGCTGTACTTAGATTCCGCAGATATCTCACACACGTAGACAAACACGCACGCACGCACACACACACACACACACACACACACACACACACAACACACACACACACACACACACACACACACACACACACACACACACACACACACACACACACACACACACACACACACACACACACACGGCGCATACTCAAATAACACACTTTTCACACGCAGAACAGAATAATGATCGACGAATTTTTTACTTTTACTATCTATTGTTCAAAAAAAAAAAAAAAAAAAAAAAAGGAATGATAAAAGCCGAACAGCGATTCGTGCAGAAAAAGTGTTGAGTAATAGATAGATATTAAGCGTTATGTCACAAGGTCGCTTTTTTCTATCGTTCCTCTGTTTTAGTTTTTTTTTTCTTTTGTTATTGAATTTTTGTCTTCTTCCCTGCTTCTCTTGCGTGGGATCGTCATCAGGTATTCAGTTTTATGAATTTTGCGCGCAGGGAGGTTTCGCGGTGGCGGTACTGACAAAAGTGTAGGAATAACGCGATTGCAAAAAAGTACAGGCTCTCATTTTGCGAAAATATCATTGCTCTTGCCGCTTCTTCCGCTGCCGCTGCCACCACTGTTGCCACTCCTCGTTCTCGTCCTCTTAATATTATTACCCACAACTTTTACTATTTTTTTCTGCTTTTACTCCGACTACAACTACTATCACAAATACTACAGTAATCGTTATAGTAGCAACAGCAGGTGTCAGCTGCACTCGCATAAGAAAGTTGCATATGTCGCAATACTGCAATTTCCTTGACAGCTGAATTCCGGTAATGTAATACCAGTCACTGTTGTTTATGAATTATTCTCTCCTTGGGCGCAGAAACGGCTTCGACCCCTGAGACGCGATTCAAGTACTTTTATCCAATATACGCACCGCATATTTTGACGCACAATTGCTTCATACCATGACCTGTGCTGTATGGATTCGATCATTCATTGCGTAAGAGGAAAGGTCACGCATTGTTCTGCGTTGTTCGTGTGGCTCGCGCGCCGCTGCCAACCTCGTGACAACCTTGTGGCTCGGAATCTTTCTCTGCTGGTAATTCGTAGCTGTTTTTTCGACATCTCGCTCTCACTCCTCTTGCGCCCGTCATCTTCATTACAGTAAATCACACACTAATCGCAGGTCCTCCTGCTGCCATTACCCGTGAGTCATTACCCGTATCCTTGCCGCGTCGGGGGCGCTCCCTGGACGCTCGCTCGGGGACGTCGCCAGAGGCCGAGGCTTCCGTTTCTGCCGCTTCGCTCTCGGGGGTTCCTCTTGGCTGGAATCTGGTCTCTTGGTCTCTTGGCTGAACTCAACTTGCTTTTCTTTGCTGATCCTTGTTTTTTTCTTTATTAGTGTGAATACTTTTTGCGTGTCATCTAGTTCGCTTCTTCTCCTCTTCCCTTTCTTTCTCTCATTCTGATTCTTGCTTTTCCCCCTCGTTATTATTTCTCTTTTTGATTCCCGAGCTTCATATAATCCTTTTCTTTCGCCTCCTCGTCCTCT